TTGAGCCTTACTGCTCTAATATTATGTGTGTTGTATGCCTTCAAGTCATTTCTGACTTATGGAGACTTGGTGAACCTATCATGGAGTTTTCTGGGCAATATTTGTTCAGAGGAGGTTTGCCATTGCCTTTCCCTGAGGCTGAGAGCATGTGACTTATCTAAGGTCACCCAGTGGGTTTCATGGCTGAGTGGGAATCAAATCCTAGTCTCCAGAGTTGTAATCCAGTGCTCAGACCCCTATGCCACGCTGGCACCTATAGCTGTAGTTAAAATATAGTTAAAGTTTCAACAGGCATAAAAGCAATGTCTGGCAGAAAACCTGAAGGGTTTGCCAGAAATTTTTGTGCAAACAAAACAAACGTCATTTATGAATTCTTCAATACTTCCTGTAATACAGATTATAAAAACAAACATTCAAGCAGCTGAACACTTTGGAGTAGTGATTCTTAAAAAACCAAACCCTGCTCTTACAAGAACAAGCTCCAGAATGCCTTAAGGTTGAGGATGGGATGCTAAAACATCAAGATGAGGGAATACAAAAGGAGAGTGGGAAAGGTACAAGGTGATGGATTGTGGGTTGAAGCTCCCTGAAGCACAAGGAAAAAAATAGCAAGTACAGGGGGAGGAAAAGGATAGAAATACCTGTTTCTTACACTGATACTACATAGTTATATCTTTGTTATCCATTTGGGGGAACAGCAATGATAAAACAGTTGTCCATCCTGAAAAGTTGTGGGTTTACCCTAAAAGTAACTTCTACTTACAGCTCCCCTACTTCTTTTCAATGACTGGTGCTCTTTACATTTGTTGTTATCTACCTTACCTCAAGGCAGGGCATTTTTAAAGAACTTCTTACTGTGTGTCCATTCTCAAGATTCATGTGTGGAAGCATTTCTGCCACATACAACCCTGACATTTAGATTATGTTGTGTGTGTTTTCTTAAAGGAGGAAGTGAATAAAGAGATACAAATCAAGTCAAAACACATATCAATATCTTAGCATTTTTTATTATCCTGCCCACAACCAGACAATACCTGATTTTTTTTAAATCAAAACTTAGAAACACAAACTTTATTTAAAAGCATAAACACAGCATTGTGAAAGATATATAGTTGCAAGAGATACACGGATTTGTTTTTAATTTGGGTTTGGCAGTAACTTGCAGAAAACAGCGAAAAGAGTGAGAATCATGTGTTTCACTGATTAAATTGTATGTATCTATTTGTCTCCAATGTCCGTTAGTACTTAAAAATGCCTTGCTGCAAGCTTGTTGCTGAATCAGTTTGAAACAAGCATACCCGTTTGCCTCTGTTGGGTTTTATTTACGGAGTTTTTACAATGCTGAATGCACAGTAGAAAGTTCTTTAAAAGTTGCTTGAGAGGGAATCAATACAGCTATTAATGCTATGGGAGCCCTGTCTGGAACGAAATCCTTCCCTCTGGAACAAAGTTAATTTTAACATGCCCTCCCACTCCTTCTGCACTAAGTGCTAGATAAGAGGTTCATCTGGGTGGCCCAGACCTACTCTTGCTTGTTGCTGGGAGACTGCTGGCAAACTTGCTGAGAATTTCAGCAGCTTGGAGTTGACTTTATTACTGGTCCTTTCCAATGGATTGTTCCATGGGAGAGCCCCCACCGAACACTAAACAGTGGGGAAGCCAGATTTGGCGGCATGGGAAATAGTTGCTATGACCTTCCCCCCATGAGAATGACTCCTGTATCATGTGTCTGTCATGGTGGCACACACTTGCCAAAAATCCCTGGAGGAAACACCTTGCTGTCTCATTTCCAAATTCTACAAAACTGTCAATATTTGCACTGGAATAGTGCAAAATGGTAGGGCTCTTGGGATTGGTACCAGGCTTTCTGGATTCCAGGGCAAATATGAGTCTCATTCAGTATGGTATAGGTGATTTGAGTGTTGAACTACAATTCTGCAGATCAGGGTTAGATTCCCCTCTCAAAACTCTGGGCGACCTTGGGCAATTCACACTCATTCAGCCTCAGGGGAAGGCAGTGGCAAACCCACTCTGAACAAATCTTGCCTTCCCCCTGAGGCTGAGTGTGTGTGAATGGCAAACCCACTCCGAACAAATCTTGATTTAGAGTTGCCATAAATTGGAAACGACTTGAAGGCACACAACCACTACCATAACAACCAGGATTTCCCAGAACAAACACAAGTCTTGTTTACCATCTCACTGCCTAGTTGGACACTATTCTTCACATCTGTCTTACTTGTTCCTGGGGTTCCTCAAACTTCCCACTTGTGTCTGGGAACTTATCTGGGGTGTTTGTTGAAGCTTTGCGCTTTCCCTGACTCATTTTTGGCAGCCTTGCCCACCAGACTGGTGGCTTTTTCCTGTTTCCACCGGGGCAGAACTCTTTAGTTCTGTTTCAGCCCAAGAATATTTTGATTCAGCTTTCCACTGTGCCCTTCTTCATTCAGGATGCTAATTTTTATGCTCAGATTCACTTAACTACGCTTTTGATAATGCATATCTCTGGAAACATGGATGTTTAAAAAAATCTCTGTCTATATGTGTGTTTTAAAGAATGAATGATGAGTTCTGGTAATATCGCCAGACTTAATTTCCTTTTTCCAGTGTTGCAAAGCAGTGAGCTGAGAGAGAAGAGCTAGGGCCCTTTTCATACTACCCAGTTATAGTGCTATGGTTTCATTTTAACTGTCATGACAACATCCCAAGTGGTATGTAGTGCTTAGATTTGTAGTTCAGGAAAAGGTATTTAGAATTTTTAACCAGGGAGCTCTAGTGCTTCACAAAACTACAAACTCCAGGATTCTATAGAACGTTACCATGGCAATTAAATTAGAATCATAGGTCTGTAACTGTGTAATGCGAAATAGCTGCCCCAGATATACTCTTCTTTCCTGTCCAGTAATCGAAAATGCATGTATACTATTATTATACTGGTCAGTCACAAAGTGGCATTGGATTTAGTTGTGATTGGTTGGAGTTAGGAATTTCAGCAATTGTGCTCTTGTTTAAGGGTGACACATACATTTCCTGTCTGGTTTCCTGACCAGTGTGTCTGCTAAGTGTTATGTGACAAAGTGTGATTATTTAAAATCCCATGATTTAATCATGATCTTACCTCCATGGTCTGTTTTCAAGTATGTGACTCAGATCTTAAACCGGTAAAGTAAATATGAAGTGTGTTCCTAAACATGTGCAAAGCATCTATCTCTCACTGAGCAGTCACACCCTCATCTTTTACAGTTGGCTCTCCATATCCATAGATTCTTTATCTGCAGATTAACCATCCAAGGCTTGAATACACACACAAACACACACACACACACACAGTCGTCCCGTTCCAGACCCCCCCCCATGAATCGAAAAAACCGCAAATATTCAAAGTCCATTGGTTAAAATGAGCGCGTGCTAATGCACATGGCACATGCACCATTTTGTCCCTCCAGGCTTGCTGTCCATGAAGGAGCAAGACCACAGACTCCAAATCTGTGAACGGGAGGGACAAGTAAGTGGGTGTGTGTGTGTGTGTGTGTGTGTGTGTGTATTCAAAAAGAAAACTTGATTTTCCCATTTTATATTAGGGACACCATTGTATTATGCCATTGTATTTAACAGCCACAGATTTTGGTACCATGGGGGGCCAGTTCCTGGAACTTCAGAAGATACCAAGGGCTCACTGTATTGTTGTTGTGTGCCTTCAAGTTGTTTTTGACTTATGGTGACCCTAAGGCAAGCCTATCACAGGGTTTTCTTGACAACATTTGTTCAGAGGGATTTTTGCCAGTGCCTTCCTCTAAGGCCGAGAGTGTGTGACTTGCCTAAGGTCAGCCAGTGTTTTTCATTGCTGATTGGGGATTCAAACCCTGGTCTCTGGCCTCCAGAGTCATAGTTTAACACTCAAATAATTGCACCACACTGATCTTACATGTAGGATAGCAAGAAGACCTTCCAGAGCAGAAAGTGTGTATTCAAGGAAGCCCTGGGTATCTGCAAAACACCTTTTCCCAAATTATGCTCAGGTTGGTTGTCATTAGGAAAAATATTTACATTAAGGGCTCTTCATTTGTTAGATTAATCTCTGCCTGTCAACTGTTTAGCGCAGGGGTAGGCAACCTTTCCCCTTTAAGGGCCGAGGGACTTCAACTCCCAGAATCCCAGGAGCTATTGGCCAACATAGGACTATTGGCCAACATGGCTGAGGCTTCTGGGAGCTGAAGTCCCTCGGCCCTTAAAGGGGAAAGGTTGCCTACCCCTGGTTTAGCAGTTCCTTTATTTTCAGTATCTGTGTCTATATAGCTAGATCTTCTAGTGGTAATGGGGCAAAAGAAAGTTGGGGCTACCGTTTTTGGCTGGCTCAGGCTGTGTGAGAATGGTCAAGATATGCTGGAGACAATGCATGTTGGCTTCACCAGTATTGCTTCATGGAGCCACTTTTCCTTTCCAAAACACGCTCAGCTTGAAAAAGCGGTTCTGTCGTCTAGCCCTGCCAACTGCCTGAGGGTAACCTGAAGTCACCGTTGTTCTAGTAGAAAGAACGCCTGAGCTGCTACAACTCCTGCTATGCAGTTGGCCTCTGAAAAATCCAAGGACAGGGACTGATGTGTTTGCTGCTTGGTATAAAACAGAGATGATCTCATCCAGTGATCTTCAATACTTCCAGAACCAGGATTTCAACCTAACAATCAAATTTTAATTAATTTAATTAATTAATTGCCATATTCTTTGTTTTCTTTTTGGGAAATGGTGCAGCACTCCTATACCTCTTAATGAGGTAAGAGGCATTTTGGTTCATGTGTCATGTTCAGGGAGGTGTGCCATGCTGGATTTTTCTCTTTTGTGGAACTATTCACATTCATTAGTTGCCATCTGATAATACTTTTTCCATTCTCACTATGAAAAACCATATAGTAGTGGCATCATTTTGGGTGCCCCATTTAGGTCTAGATGTCATCCATTCATTAAAGATGATATTCTTACCTACTGATGGAGTAGTGAGTAGAGCCAGCATGGCATAGTGGTTTGAGTGTTGGATTATGACTATGGAGATCCTGGGTTTGATTCCCTGCTCGGCCATGAAACCCACTGGGTGACCTTGGGCAAGTCACATACTCTCAGCCTTAGGGAAAGGCAATGGCAAACTAATCTTGTCAAGAAAACCCCATGATAGTTTCACCTTAGGGTCTTCATAAGTTGGAAATGACTTGAAGGCACACAGCACACAGTGGCTAAAGACATAAGCTATAGATAGAAGAAATTTGGGGTTCATTTCTCACCTCATGGCTTTAGCTAAGCCTTTATTCCTTCTCATCAGTCCTTGTTTGCTATTGTTCTGTCCTACCTTCCAAGGCTGCTGCAGTTACTTTTCAACCATGCTAAAATACTTTGATTTCTGCAACTGGATAACTCAAATACTGCAATTGTACTAATGCAAAAGTAAAGTTGTCCCTCCCAATTCACAGGGGATCCGTTCCCCCCCCCAGTGCGAATTGGGAAATCGCAAATATTCAAGGCCCATTGGCTATCATGGGCACACGCTTCTGTGTGCAGTGCTGCATGCGTACCTCAGGCGCACACCCCATTTTGTCCCTTCCCACTTGCTGTCTGTGAAGGATTGTGACCGTGGACACCAAGTCCGCGAACGGGGAGGGGCGAGTGTAGTTATTTTCAGTAATAGCCCACCCTGTACAAATGGTCTGAAACAGAGGACATCAGTCACACCCAGACAGAATCCAATTCATTCCTTGTCTTAGGACCAGCTCACAATTCAAGGCCAAGGAAAGTTGGGGAATTCTTGCAATGATCTTTCTCTCAATAAATATACTAGTCTATAGGGTGATGCATGGAGGCAGTTTGATTCTGTCATTATTAATTTTTGCAGATCATTTCAGTGTTTCCTGTATTATAGGTCTTCATACTTTGTGATTCATCAAGTTGAACATAGTTTGAGTGAAGTACTGCAGCTTGCTTGGTGTTCAAAAATTAAAAAATTGAGTATTTGCAATTCCAAACAGGCAGCATAACTAGGTTTATTACCCAGTTTTTGTTCTATCCTTAGAATCATTGTCAGGTAGTCGTCATCCCCCCGTCTCCTGGTAAGCCTTCAGTCCACCTGCTGCACTGTTTGTTTTTAACCTGCTTTATTAGTTCCACCTCATTGATTGCTTAATTCATGTTGGAACCAACTTGAATTGTGCTTTGCTCTGCCAACAACAAGGATGTGTCAGTTTCTTCCCACCATCCAAGCTTTTATCTCATTTGGGGCTGTGACTTGTCTGTGGGAACAGTCTCATGGTTGCCAATGGGCTCACTGCCTCAAGTTGCTAGTTCTCTAGACAGAGGCTGAAGCTGGTTCTGTTTCTCTTTCTGTTGCTTGTCTGTGCAAGAAAGCAGGTTGCGTAAACAGGCCCCGTATGAGAAGGGAGTAAACATGGGGGAGTGACGCCCATCCCAACCAGAAAAACAAGCTTGTTCCGTGCCTGCTCTTGAGTTTTATAACCGGCCTCTTATTCTCTGCTGAACTTCTTTTTTTCTTGGAAGGAACAAAGTGCAGAATGCATAATCTCCATTGTAAGACTTTGTACAGAGGTTTGCAGAAAGATCTTCCTTCCTTAGGGGACTGTGACATATTTATCTCCAACAGAAGACCTGTTGCTTTTTTTTTTTTTTTTAAGAGTGCTGTCAGTAAAACAGAAGGCAACACAAACAAAATGTTTGCTTCACTTTTTCAGTTGTACTAAAGCAGAAGAGAGAAAACAGCTGATTTTCAAGTGTTTTTATTCACTTGTATGAGTTGTACAGAAGGGAAAGGCAAGGAATTGTCTAGAGTGAGGGCCCCAAATAAGCCCGGTTTTGTTTGCACATAGTTGTCCCTGTGTTGGCTTCACAAGATTGTAAGGTAGAAGAGGCTATTTAGGAGAGATAATGATGGAACTACTAGTACTCCAGAGTAACTACAGGTTGAGCATCCTTTATCTGAAATGCTTGGGACCAGAAGTGCTCTGTAATTTGGATTTTTTGGATTTTGAAATACCTGTATTTGCCTATACAATACATAATGAGACATAATGAGGCTACAGAAAGACTGGCAATTCAAGCAAAGTGCTGTGCACACATCCACATCTCCTAATATTTCACAGATCCTGATGTTTCCCTCCAGCCTCACAGGTCTGTAGCTTGAAAAGTTTCAGATTTTGGAGAATTCCAGTTTTCTGAATTCTGGATAAGGGATACTCAACTTGTATCAGATTAAGCCCAAAACATTTTGCCCCTCATGAGCACATTAATTAAGATGAGGTACTAAGGAAGTCCAAAGAGGAAAGTGCAAAAGCAGGTATAATGCTGAACATAAAGAAAACAAAAATGACCATGAAGGAGCTACATACATTCAACCTAGAAAATGAGGAAATCAAAATAGTTAAAGAGTTCCCATACCTTGGATCAAACATTGTTCAGAATGAAGACTAGTTTTGAAGACAGCCGATAAGAAGAAAATTCATTTGAGATGTGGTGCTGGAGAAGAGTGCTGAAGATATCAAGGACAGCCAAAAAGACAAACAAATGGATCCTTGAACAGATCAGGGCTGAAGTCTTCCTGGAAGCCAAGATGATCAAATTGAGGTTGTTGTACTTTGGCCACATCATGAGAAGACATGATTCATTAATTAGAAAAGACAAAAATGTTAGGGAAAGTGGAGGGAAGTAGAGAAGGACCACATGCCAAATGGATAGAGTCAATCAGGGAGATCATATGCCTGAATTTGTAGGACCTAAGCAGAGCAATGGAGGACAGGGGGTCTTGGAGATGTTTCATTCACAGGGTCACCATAAGTTGGGGGTCAACTTGAGGGCAGTTAACATCAACAAACAACTTTCCCAGATGTTCTCCTGTGCAAAACACATAAACTGGAATTGTATACTGTAGTCTTTTCCACCCTGGTTTCCACCCCACCAACTCTGTCATCCTCAGACAGCATGGAGCCTAGACCTGAAAGCAGCCCAATGAGGACTGAGTATGTTCAGTGGACACCAGATGTTTAATGATAGTTGGGGAGTGGGAGAAAACTTGGGTTGAGACAAATGGAATGGAGTATTGTCAAAGAGAATATAACTGGCTCAGACCCTGATCAGGAACTCTCCACACTGTAAAATTTTATTATAGGTCCCACTCGTTTTTCCTGTTTCTCTTGATGAAATAAACACATGTTCAAGACCTATCATGACTTTTAAGAACACATGCCAAATTGCTGTTATACTGTACATATTAAAAGTGTTTGTATTATTTACATAAGGAATGTCAACTTCTTAATTTATTGCAAGGTTTATGGTTGGGAGTGGGGAACCTTTTTGACCCAAAGACTAGATTGACTCCAGGAAAACACACCTAGGATTGCATGCCTGCAATGGGAGGGTTAATATCCCAGTGTGGTTTCAAGTTGGTTTCAGTGTAATGGCGTGACCCTATCATGGGGTTTTCTTGGCATGTTTCTTCAGAGGAGGTTTGCTATTGTCTATTCCTGAGGCTGAGAGCATGTGACTTGACCAAGGTAACCTAGGGAATGTACATGGCATGAACTGGGATTCAAACTCCGGTCTCCAAAATAATAGTCCAACGCTCAAACCTTCATCGCACTGGCTTACCAAGAAGTAGATGCATGCACATTACAGACACCTCTCTGTTGAAAATGCTCTCCTGCCATGCACAGCTTTTAAAAGTTTTAATTAGATTGAAAGGAGGCATATAAGAACTCCAGATGCAACATGGTGGGGAGGGAGGAGAGGATAGAAAATCTCTTATCTCTGTTGATCTGTTGATCAAGTTGAAAAGATTTAGTGATCTAAGTGACAGGGAGCAGGTCCTACAGCAAAAAGCCATGGAAGAAGCTGATGGGAGAATGAGGCTTTGAGAGTAAATGGCTGAATTGAAACAATAGGTCAGAGAATCCTCATCCCTGATTTATGGGGTATTGTCCCAATTTGCTTCAGTTATTTCTATTTGGTATACATTTTTTTCAGTTCAATTTCAAATTTGTTGATTCAAATTCAAAAACCATCAGAAAACATTAACTCTGAATGAATGAAACCATTGAAAAAGCAGTCCATCCTTGTCTCCCTAAATGTCAAGTTTTCAGAAACTATTGTGTTTCAGAACCCCCTGTGAGGGAGTAGTAATTCCACACAGAGAGGCTGCTGGGTTTGTTAGAACAAACTGGAGTAATGCAGGAAGTCATTGGGAAGCTATTGAAATGAGCGATTGAGTTATAATGAGAACATGGCATTTCCTATAGAAACGGATACTTCAGTGTTATATTTGATGCCGAGAATCTGGGGGATGGTTTTATTGAGGCAGTGGCGGGTACGTGGGTACATGAATGCTCCTTGGCTTTAAAAGCTGGAATTGGGGGAAACACAGGAAGTATCAAGCTTTCTAAAAGCTTCTGAGAAGTTCCTGCCTGGTTTGGAAAGGCTTGGCGGGATTCCAGGGTCCAGGAATGAGTTTCATGCTAGATTCTTGAAACCAAAATCCCCTCCCCACCTCGTTTGGTTCACACCAGCATATGAAATTTCCATCTTCCTCTGCCTGTTTTATCTCTCCAGCATTGGGGTGTTGCATGGATTTCTGCCTGCCACCTGGCTGGTTAAAGACCCAGAGATGGAAAATCTATGTCTGATAGAAAAATGAAAAAAAAAATTAGTTTCTTCAACTAACCTGCCGCCACATGTACACATATGCATCACTTCCCTAAGGGCTTGTCTATATGACTTTAAGTACAGTATTCCTTATTCTATTCTAATAGAATGTGATCCTTCTCCATGTGATTCAGAGGAATTAGGGCTTTTTCTGGGGGGAGGGACTCCTCAAACTCAACTGAAAAAGGAATTGTGGTTTTTACTGGTATATCTATGAATATCTATGAGTATCCATGAGGATACACATTATCGAATGTGTGGCCGTCTGCCCACTTCTCATGGATTCAAGACTGCACATTTTTGGCATTTTCAGTGGAGAAGCCTCAGTTCTAGTGCTATAAAAGATGGAAGAAA